TTTTAAAAAATACAGCATTAAGATTACTTTGCATAGATTCTAAGTATCTTAACACTTTTTCCCTTCTAATTTTACTAAAGTCTAAATCTACTCTTAAATATTTATTTTTTTCAATTTCTTTATTTTCATTACTCGTCAGATTAATAATAGCATCTATTTCTTGACTACCAATTTTTTTTTAAATATATACAGTTTTTTAAATGATTTTTTACTTATGACTTTTTATTTGTAAATGTAAGCTTTGAAAGTTCATTCTCTTTCAAATTTTCAGAATATATAAGACAAATAGCATAATTATTCCAATTATTTTATTTACTAAGCACTTTTATATATTGTGTTAAATGATGGTTTTTGGTTTAAATTTTTTTTTGGTACTCATTTTTGGAAAGTGTAAAAAAAAAATGGTTAAATGATGTGTGAAAAAATATGATTAAACTATATGTAAAAAAAATGATTAAATAATGTGTGAAAAAAAATTGATCAAATGATATGTAATTAAACAATGTAAAAAAAATTTTAAATTTTTTTAGTTGTATAAGATTATTTATTACCGAAATAGTATTGAAAGCATTAGAAGCAATATTAGATCTTCTAATAGCTAATTCCAATAATATAAAATTTGATTGGAAGTTTCTAATACACATGACCTATTGGAAGATCAAAATCTTCTAATACTTTCAAATCTTCCAATAGGCTTTCTAATTCTAATAAAAAGTCATTGGAAGCCTTTCAAGTACATTACTGCTCTATAACATCTTTAACTTCTATTTTGATAGCTAGCATTATTTTCTCATTTCTATTAAAAATATCTACTTCAATTTGATCATTTTTTCTAATATTAGATATATCATTATCACCTTCTAGAAAATTAAAATATTATTGTAAAGATAGTATACATATAATACAAGTTAAATGTAATAATGCTGTTAAGCCTAAATACTACATCATTAGGATAATAAAGCTTATTTGCTAACAGGGAGTTTAAGTTATAAACTATGAAAGAAATAAACATGAATTTATTTAAGTTGAAGGGTCAGATAGTCTTTATTGATGATTTATGTTTTAAGGAAATAGATATTGGTAAAGATATAGTTTTTATGTTGTTAAGATTATACTTTATTAATTGTATGATTGGAACTTGTTAGTTTGTTAAGGCGACAATACAGGATATTTATATAAAATACAGTAATAATAAAGAGATAATAAATATAATAGTGAAAATAAATATAACTATGATAATAAAGATAATAAATAAAATAATGATAAACAGAATAATAATGAAAATAAATATAACAACGATAATCGTGATAGCAGTGAAAATGATGATCATGATTTTCCTAGTGATCATTGGTAATATTAATTAGTGCAGTTATTTAGTAATGCAAACGGGTTATCACTAATACTGTGGAGCTCACCATGTCCTATTTGCGATGGAAAACATGGGAATTATGGATTACATGGCTCATGGTATTGCGAAAATGAGAATCAGCTCCCTTATGATCCTGAATTAGCGAAATTGTATTCCCAAAATAAGTTGGAATATTGTTTTACCTGCAACACTTTAAGCAATAAACTCAAGTTCGCAATTGTAGCATAGTGATCATGTAATTTTGTTGCGAAGTAATGTTCCAAATAATTAGTAGCCTGTAACTTTATTGTAACAAGCTTGTCACACTTCTTCGCATAAACTGGTTGCGTAATCCTATTAGCTGTGACATTTAATGTCACAGAATAAAAATCATATGACTGAATTCTGACTACTGCGTTCATATTAAAATTGATTGCATCACTGATCAGATCTGTGATCCCTCTATAAAACTAACTCATTACCCAATTCTGCAAACAAAATTCTTTTCTTTTCTCATTTATCGTTGTGATATAAAACAACAGTAAAAATGTCTATTGATGATACGCCTATTACCCTTTGGTGTCTTGAATATGGAAGTAGTTCCTTCTCCGTTACTATTAAAAATAATAATTCTATTTTTGATCTAAAAAAAGCTATCTTCGAGGAAATTAGTGTACCTGACAACGTAAAAACTAAAAACCTTAGTTTATGGAGTGTTAATGTTGAGAAAAGTCAGTTGGAGAGTAACACCCCTGATGGTTTAATGACTGTTGAAAATGAAATAAAAATCGCAACGCAAAAAGTTGGCAACACATTCTATAGAGTTCAAGATAATAACATTCGAGTTGTCATTAGAGTTCCTGTTACCGCCGGTAAGTCAATAATTTTTAGTCAACGTGATATAGCATAATTTTTTTCGTCTCCTCTGTCATATTCGCCAATAATACTGAATACTTACTTATTCTTGTGCTTTTCTTTTCTGCTTCTTATCGTCAAACCCTTCCAAAAAAATACATTCGCATTATTGTAGAGCAACCTGTCACTAGTAAGTGAGTTGTAATATATTTAGTCAATGCGAGTGAACGCGATATGGTTTTAAATTTTTATTCTTGTATTTAACTTTCAACGAAAATACTTAATGTCGAAGAGAAGAGTAAGTAACAACTTTCAGATATATACTTTTTTTCCTGTTATCATTTCATTTAGAGAATGGTTGATAACGTGTGCTATTTCTTATTTCTAGATATACACTACCAATATTACCAATTAAGGGTAATTCCTATTAATAACGGCACATGGATCAATTTTGTTGGATTATTTGAAGGCCTTCAAAAACTTTTCGGTCTTATAAACTCAATGGTGGATTATGACTTTATTATTGTGAATAAAAAAGTAAAATTCAACTCTAAAAAAGCCTTCATTGAATTCATTGAAATTAATAAAAATTCACCTAAAAGTCCTATTATGATATTAGATATAAAAGGTATGTAATCATTTGTTGATTATAAAATAAATTATTATCTAACATAAGAATTTGCAGGCCACCCCATGATATATACAGAAATTCTAGATACTTTATCAACACTATCAAAACTTGGAGAACCTTCAGAATGGCATTTTAATAACCACAATAAAGCTATTTGTCTCAATCACCGCCCGCCATCAGCTTCTAGCATTGTACCTGTTACCCTTTATTGTTCAATTTTTGGCACATTTGAAGATCGCTGTGAGGAAGACCCAGAACGCGAGGACAACCTTTTCACCTATAATTTTTGTCGTGAGATGGCTAAATTTTATGACAAAGAAGATGTGCGTCGAGATATAGCAAATAGTTTATTGTCAAAATATCTTTATTGCAAAGTAGAACCAGTTATGCTTGGCGGAAATCGAAATACTGATGGCAAGGTCTCTACTGACGATTTAAATCGTGAACTTAACGTTAAATACAAAAACGAGACATGTTCGACCAATTCCTGTGCTCATCTCGAAAACTATGGATACTATTTGTCATTTTGCAAGAATCAGGAAAATACTAATACTAATATGCCATATTTCTTGGTTAATATTGCAGGTATGTTCGTAAACTCGCATTAATATATCTTTACTGAATTTATGAATAACTTAGTTGCATTTCAGGACCCACGTTCACTGTATACGGTGCTGTGCTTTCAGATACTGCTATAGTGGATCCTCTTACCCCGACCTACTACCTTATTTGGCTCAAGAATAATGAAAAGATGATGTTGTTACTTTCTAGAGCATTTTGTGCTTTGAGGTTATCTCTTCAAGAACTAGAACAGTATTATAAAAATGCATCTCAAATTTACCACCGTCAATATTCTTCATTTTCTGATTTGACGTTAAGAAGCCAATCGGAAGGAAACAAAACTTACAATATTCGAATCAGTTTCTAACATGGTATTTATCTGCTTTGGGAGGCTACACTTCAAACGAATAGCGAAGTACAAGAACATTCAGTGTACGTGAAAGCTGTTCAGAGAAAATATTACTCACTTCAAACGCACAATTTTTTACATACGAATAGAGATCATGTTCCAAAAATCATAGAGACCACATATATGCCTGGAGGTTGGCTTTTGGTTTATATGAGTTGTCTGCAAAATCATGTAAAATTGGATAAAATCGTCCATACCCTTGATAGTAGTGAGCGTAATTCTCTAAAAACGGAAATCATTAGAGTGGTCCAAATTTACATGATAATGATTATGTGCATAGAGACTTACGCGAGGGCAACATTTTAGTTTGTCGATATAGTGAAAGAGAATGTGGTTTTGATGTGAAGCTAATCGATTTTGAATGGTCAGGACTTGTTAGAATTGCATGTTATTTTCATTTTATGAATCATATCGCTATTCATTGGCCAGAAGGGGTAGAGGATAGAAAGAAAGTCACAAAGAAACATGACAACACCATGTTGGAGCAGACTTTTCAGAAAACAAAATTGTCGCAAGAATCAAATGTGTCTGACATGTCGATTGGACAGTGATCTATTAATAGACATTATTAATTTTCACTGTTAAATCGTTGAAAATCACGTAAAAAAATCATTAATTATTCTAACAGATTTGTATCAGTTATAGCAATTTTATAGGAGGACTTTCATATGATTGGCCGATCATTTCAATTGAATTTATACAGTTTAATTTACTTTTTAAGATTTCGATAATTTACATGAAAAAAAAAAAAAATTTATTTTTAATTCTGAATTAACTTTAAAATTCACTGTGCAAAAGAATCTTAAAAGAATCTGAAATCTAGAGGTACTTTACTTAAGAAGCAAATATGCCTATTACTGGACTATGTGTAATTACTATATGCCAGCAAAAATCAACTAACTGGAAAAGGGTAACTGAATATGTTCTTGCTAAAAGTCAAACTAACAATACTTTGCCAAATTATGTACAAGAAAATAATGTAATTTGCTTGGATTGTTATAATGGAATTGTAACAAGAAGCTCGCTTGAATTTCAATAACATGCTCAAAATAATGAATTTCAACATACCCAAGCCAAGAACTGTGAATTTAATGAGACTGAAAGTACTAATACTATCTTATCATTTTCTAAAGCAATAGAAGTGCTAACAAATATTTTATATGCTCAAGAAAATAAAGAAAAACAGCCAACTTTGTATTCTTTTGATGAATTTCGAAAAATTATGAAAGCAAAGGATATAAGGTTAAAAAATTTTTTTGATGAATTATATTTCTCATTTAACCCATCTTTTAAAAATAAAGATTCACAGGCTTGAGTAAAAAAGAAACTATTATTTGTATGCTATTTCCTTTATGGAATCTGAAATAAGTTTGTCAATGACGAAAAGAGGGATTTAACCATGTATTTAGATTCTACAGGTGCTTCTAACACTTTCATAGATACCTTTTCTGATCTAAGTATAACTACATCATTATGCACAGTCTCTTGGTATAAGACAACTATATCTGAAGAACATGTTAAGTCAGTTAATTCTACACTTACCGAATGCGAGAATGCAATGGTACTAAATATAGACGATTACTACAGCATTCATACAAAATGGATGCCAAATACAACTACCATGTCAACTGCCGTACATCTAGCAACAATCTTAATGAATCAAATTATGACACAACCTGCAATTCTGAAGATAAATATCTATAATCCTATACTGGTTGATGCCAAATTGATTAAGGCCAATATGAAAAATAGATTTATGAAGTTTTATGGCGTTTCATATAACTGATGTTAAAGACTTCATATAGTTGATAATGATACAAGACTAAAAGAGTTAACTATACATAGTTATGATGTTAGGTTAAAGAAAAAATGAAATGCTCATTCAATGAAGAATATCATTCTTATAGATTTACAGAAGAATGACCTTCATTCTTTGGATGTATACATCAAAGCCATTAATAACGTTGTGGATATTCCATCTATGCAGCAGTATATTTAGTAAGGATATATCATCCCTATTATTGCTGATTGGCCTGAACAAATCTACCTTAGAACAGCTATTTCATGCTACTTATGTTATCGTGATTCATTGAATATTACTAATAATATCTTGTCTTTTCTTCCTATGATAGGTCCTTTGCATATTTCATTGAATAGCTGAGAATTAATTTTTCTCTAATACTAGCCTTTTTTTCAGCTATTTATATGTATATCTTTAGAGGAAATAAATCTCTCGCACAAAAGCCTAAGCTATGGCAGATCAATCTTCTTTTAGAGGTATCTCGCAGTGCTTGGCAGAAAATTTCTATTGCCGTCAAAACAAAATTCAGATCTTTGTGTAAGAATGTTGAATATCTTGCACTTAAAGACCTTCTTGACAATATGATTCCATTTGTATTAGATATTTATGCTGTATTTTTCCGTTCAGGTGATTTTAATGCTTATTTAGAAGCTTGCTTTGTGTTTAGATAATATTTTTTAAATTCCATCGCAGAAACTATACCAAGGCTTTATTGATGTTTCTTTCTGATATCTTCTACTGGGAATTAAACAATCATCCAATATTAGAAACAATTAAGGCTGAACTTCCAAAGTTCTCAGATTCAACTGTAGAAATCTTTCACAGCTTTCTACGTAGGAGTACATAAAAGTATACAGAAGCACAACAAATCATTAAATATGAACGTTATATTAATCAATTGCGTTTAGATGATAATGGATTTAAAGAGAATTTTGTACACACGTTTACATGGGCGGCTTATGAGTATTCTGCTCAGGATATAACATTTTTGACAAAAAAAGCACTTATTTTCTTTTGCAATGTTTTTCAGAAATTTTTACGCACTTATTTCACCACAAATTACTAATATTATTTCCATTACAGATAAATCCATTTCTAAAGAAGAAAGGGAAAAAAGCGAAGAAAATTCTGATATCTTTCCATTAGTTGCAATGAAAATGCTGAAAGCACAATTACGCCATCTTCTTTTGGGTTTTAGCACTGTACAGAAGCCAGATTAGTTTCATTACTATAATGCGTCTAACTGTGTATTTTTCTCATCTATTAATTCAGATGATCCTATCGAAATTCTAACTTGTGATTACACATATCATAAGTCCTGTTATAGCGATATTGGATTTAAATACTTGTATTGTTTATCAAACTTATATAATGGTGATGATAAGCATGTTTATTCCTTATTAGAATCTTTGAAAAGTTTAAATAAAAAATAAAAACGAGATGTAGAATCAGAGGATAATATTTTCGATGATGATGATGATGGTATAAGCAAACTGGTAAATTATGTAACATATGCATTAGAAGAGACGTTACGAAAATTTCAACAGCAATAAAAAATGTTTATGATTTTTTTTTTTAAATATTATATAAAATCAATAAATTAAACTAATTTGTTTGATTTTTAAAGGTTTTAGTTTAATATACATATAAATGCTAATAATTAAATAAAATAGTTTATTTTATTAAAGTCACGTAATATGTATAAATATTTACAATACTAATTATAAAATTCATGTAATATAATCAGCCAATCATATAAAAGTCCTCCTATGAATAGCAATTGTCATATAAGCGTGATCTTTTAAACCAATATATGTTATATGCGGTATAATGTTGTGTATATTAATAAAAATTATTCAGACGCGTGTCCATCAATGAATAGGCATCATTGATAAATAAAGTATAATTTTTAACTTATAAATGTTATAAATAAACCTGATACATAATTAACGAATCAGATTTTGCCGTGAGTAATCATAAGTCAAAAAAATAGTTACTTTTCTGAACAATTCACATAAGAAAAACATTAGTGATGGAATAAGAAACGCAATAAAAAAAAGAAACTACTGCAGAAAAATCTGAAATCTGATTGGCTGATTATCTCGTGATTTATAGAAACTCGTCAGTGCCTGAAACATTCCTAGAACTATCGAGAAACTGGCAGGGAACTAAGAAGATTATATATGATATAAATTTTAGTCGAAGATAATTTAGCTGTCTATGGTTTTCAGATCCAATTTAGCTGAATTATACCAATATTTCATCCTGAATAAGGGCATAATTGAATAAAAGATTTACTAATTACTAATCAGTAAATCTGTATGAATTTGAATGATGATATTCTATAATATATGTTACTCAAGAATAGCTAGAAATTGCTAAAAATACTATAAATCGGTATATTTGCTAAATATGAAAGTTGTTACTTTAGCAAGCATTACTAACATTAATATGATTATTGATAAAAAAGAATAGAGGCTTCCTAAGCCCATCAGTAACCATTCTAGATATGATATGAAATATTATAAAACATATCTCGAAAATTACTATAGTAGTATGGATTTCAAAAATTTCTTGCTAATGAAAAAATCTATGACAGATTATCAATAATGAGAAAGGGAGAGTCTCCAGTGCAGTGAGAATTACAAGTTAAAAATACTCTCTAATATTTATTATCACGAAATGAAAATAGCATATACTATAGTTTCTGCTTATTTGCAGGAGTTGGTGAAGGCAAATTTGGCAAATCATATCATTCTTATTATCGTCCTAAAATTTATAAAAACAATATGACAATCTGCTTTCGTTACTGAAAACTATTTCAAGTTAATGAAATAAAGTCAACCAAATCATATCATCATGGATAGCATAGATTCATTGAATTAATTAAAACTAAAGACATGATGCAGGGATATTAGGACTAAAAATGTTTTGATCCTTTAAGTAATCTTGGATGTGTAAGGATTAAGCAACAAGCTTTTGAGTTACACTCGTCGACTTCAAACATGCTATTTATCTCATCTTTGTATGCGAAATAAAATAACTTATTAACATCTACAAAATATCTTAATCAGCCAAAAGGTATCACAATAAGATTGAGAGATAGAGTAAAAATCACGATTGTTTAACTGTTTTGACTGACTGATTCTAAGCAATGTAGATTATTACTTTTGACTAAATAATATCTCAACTATATTCCATTTTTTTACACTATATAATTTGCATGCATGATCGCTTAGTATAATTGTAAAATGTACCACCTGCAGGATAAAAAACCTGATTTGCCTATTCTGAATTAGATCTTTTAATTTATAACAAAGTATTATTTAGAAAGATCAATGAAGTGATCTTAAGGATTCTTGATTCCTAAATACTACTATAATTATGACTTTGAAAATTTCTATACAATACTTATCCAGCAAGCTTATAGGAATTACAAGAAAAGATCCAAATCTTTGGCAAAATGAGTTTTAGAGATGGTGAGAAATGATAGTACTTCTGATGATAAAAAGTATTTAGGTATGAAAAATGAAGGATATAATTCTTCAAGATAAATTTGGTATGAGGAATATTATTCTTCAGCAAAAAATGAATAGATATTTGAGAAAAAGCTCAATTATAGATATGATTAGATATAGTATCACATATATTTGTTGAAAAATTATTATATCAGCAAGGCTATATATTTGTTAAAGGTATATATTAGATCGACATGTTAAAATAGCTACAAAATTCTGAATATTATTGTAT